ATATTAGATTCCATCCGAGGTTGGGAAATAGAATTCTCTTCTGGTCAGACTTGTGGATAGGGCAAACTCCTTTGAAGGACAGATTTTCCGATCTCTTCTCTCTGGCCAGAGATCAGGGAGAAACCGTGGCTGACGAAATGCTACCACCAGGGTCTCTCGATCATGGAAGCCACATTTCAGGAGGCCTCTCAACGATCTAGAAACATAGAGTTTTGCTACTCTAGCGGCAGAACTTCAGGCCTTCTTCTTAGCACCATCGGGGTATGATCACATCATTTGGTGTCCCTCACCATCAGGGAATTTCTCGGTTTCCTCTTCTTTCGTAGCCTTTCTCGTCCACCAACCTTCACTCTCACCCCTAATGCTACAGCTGCCCAAGTTGGAAATCTTTCGCCCCACCAAAAATCAAGATTTTCATGTGGCTAGCTCTCTCACAGAGAGTTCTAACAGTAGATCATCTACAAAGACGAGAAATCCCAATTCCAAATCGGTGTCTCATGTGCCTCTCGGAAGAAGAAACAAACAACCACCTCATACTACACTGCCATAGGCCTTCAATCTCTTGGGAGCTATCCTCAAACTGTTCAATGTGCAATGGGTGCTACCTGCAAAAGTGACCTCCATCATATCTTCCATCCAACCTTTCCCTTGGCACAGAGAAGGGATCCTTCTTTGGAAAACAACAGTGGCTGATGCCTTGTGCGCACTTTGGATAGAGCGCAACAGCAGAATTTTCCAAGGGGAATTCTCAATTTGGTCTAAAGTATTCAACAAACTTAAAGTCCACAATCATCTTTTGGGCGACCAACCATCAATCCTTTGAAGGTGTTCCCTCCTCGGCCTTCAACCAGGACTGGAACAGAGTCCTTCAATTCCATCGCTTGCGTTTGCAGCGAGCATCTAGATGGAAACCTCCACCTGTGGGAAAGCTTAAGCTCAACTTTGATGGCTGTTCTCTCGTAAACCCCGGCCCTTCAGTCATTGGAGCTATTCTCAGAGACCACCTCGGTGCTACTGTGGCAATTGCCTCCAAACACATTGGCCATGCAAATTCTATGGAGGCAGAAGTGCTGGCACTTTTGGAAGGCCGCAAACTCGTCCAACCCCTAGACCTACACTCTCCTCGTCGAGAGAGATTCCAATAATACAATTTCTTGAGTGCAGAATCTTCCGTACTCCTCCCCCCCTTGGCATCTGAACCACATGTTTGACAAGATTGAATACCTTGGCAGGAATATGTCTGTCGTGTGGATGCAGACATGGAGGGAAAGAAACCAAGCAGCTGACTCCCTCACCAAAGAAGCAGCAGCAATGGCAAATGACTAGAAGATTTTTGGGCTTTTGTTTTTCACTCTATTTTACGGACCTTGTATGGTGGAACGACCAGTTTTTCTAGGTTGTTGTGTCTCACTGTAACCTCTTTAAAGACGATTTTGATTCTAGTTTTGGTCATCTCATCCCTTGGGCATCCTTTATTGTGGATTGCCAAGGTGACTTGTACTCTTTCACTCTTTTATTAAAGGTTAACACTTTCAACAAAAAAAAGTCATGTAGCAAAAGCATGGTAATTATGCCATACAAAACAGGAGCAGGCCATCAACACCCCTAGTGATGCTATTTCAATTATAATGACTAGTGCAATTTCCTTTCTGCATAAAGTTATCATTAAAGGTTCCTAATGGAATATGCACCAAGTTGAAACTCTTCTACATAAGTGTTTCTTTTCTTTTTTTTTTGCCTTTTCTCCTTCAGTTTTAAAATGCATGTGCCTTTAACTCTACACACCACACCCCCCCTCCCCCCCCCCCCAACCCCCTAAGAACATACATTTCTCAGAAACAATCCTCATAAAGCAAACTTGTGACAAAAACAAAATAAATTAACCATAGGTTGGGCCTGCATAATTGCCCTGCTCTTCATATAACACAACAGGTCTGATCAGTAAATTTTGTTGGACCAATCATTGATCCAAGATAATTACATAACTAAAATCAATTTCATTACTAGCTAGTTAATGATATAATTTAAAACCAAGTATAGACGTCTACATTATAATCCAAGACTGAGTAACTCGTCCGACTCCAGCCCGAGTAGAGAAAAACAAAATAAATAGGCGAAATATTATATGACATACTGAAATCTAACAGCTATCTTGACGAGTCATCTTGATTAGATGCCGTGGCCCCTTTGCACAAGGTCAGGAGATCGAACCATGGCATCTTCAGTTTTTTCTGTAAACTCCATTAAAAAAATAAAATAAAAGACGATATAAAAAAAGAGGCCACGCAATGGTGGACTTTGTGGGGCTCTCACCTCAAGAATTAGGCACAAAAAGCACTTAAGGCTAGCCAAAACACCATTAAAGCTTCGTCATATTTAAGTGGATGTCATATTGTTTATATATTAAAAGGACTATGTCCTCAAAGAAAAAAGGAGCCTAGGAGGAGCAAAACTATGAGAGGGTCGTTCAACGGGGTCGAATCTTGACCATAAGGCTTGGTGGCCGTAAAAATGCAAACCAAGAAGCCATTCAAACATTTATGAATAAAATTAGACAATATTCCATATATTCTATACAATCAGAGGTGTACAGCATAGTCAGGACAAACTCACCTTGCCCATAGGGTGAGGCCGAGTAACTCGGTCGAGTCCGAGACTCAGACTCGGCCAAGTTCCTTCACACTTTTTAATCTCCTTGGTATTTGAACAAGAAAATCTCCTTGGTATTTGAACAAGAAAATAAATGCTGAAACCCAAACACAGGGACAAAATCGTGTAAATATGCATGTCAAGTCCTCGTATGCAAATGTCAAGTCATTCTACAATAGATTCAAATAAGAACAATTGTTTCGTGCGGCCGAACCGCATTTGTACAATATGCGGTCCAGAGGTATAAAGCATCCATCTTCAAATAGGTGGTCTATTTAAAAACAATTGTAACTAACGGTCCAAATGTTTTCTTAATACAATTATTATTTCGAAGTTTCAAACTTTATATATTTTTTCATATTCATGATCTCTATGTTAAAGACCATATATTCACTAAAAATTAGGATCAAATTATATTTTAAAAATATATTTATTGCCAAGCCCGCATTCTACATGTGCGGGCTTGGCCTCATGCTAACCGGGTTCTTCAAATAAAGACCCAAAAAAAAAGTGTAGATAAAGAAATACACGCATATATGATCAGAGCAAGAAAAGCCAGAGACCACTTATCCAAAAAAGAACATGGAGGCTAAGAATTTGGAGCGACACTCTTTCCCTATTCCAATGGGAATGGGTAACACCCGAGAGTGTGCCTCATCTTTTTAACATTTCATCCTTCCTGTCCTGGGCCTTATCCAGGTCCCTGCTCTGGAAGCAACTGTGGCTGCGACTATTTGGAACGTATAGAAGGAACGCAATAACAGAATTTTCCGGGCCTTTCTGCCCCAACCCCCAAGATCAAGGACGCTATTCGAGCCTCAGTAATATCCTGGGCCACCAACCATAGACACTTTAAATTTCATCCCACCTCAGATTTTCACTCAAATTGGGCCAATATACTCAGTCATAGACCGAGAAAGTGCCACGCTCAGCACACTGGAGGCCCCCAGAGAGGGACGCTACCAAGCTTAACTTCAATGGTTCGTCGTTTGGAAATCCCGACCCGGCAGGAATAGGAAAAATCTTTAGAAACTCCGAGGAGACTATGGCACCTTTTTGACGAAATCCATGATCTTTGCAGGCATATGCAGATCTCTTGGAGGTATATCTGGAGGGAGGCCAACCAGGTCACAGATGAACTCGCTTAAACTCAGTGCTGCAGTGGGGTTATCGCAGTGCTACACGGCAGCATGCGCCACCCTGACCACCTCAAATAATTATTTCTTCATTTGCAAATGAAAAAGAATGAAATGGTTGCTTTCCAAAGGAATTCATAGAAATAGTAAACCCAAATAGTTCCTTCTGTTGTTTACTTTTACAATAATTCAAGTAGTTCCTTTTGTTGTTATGTATTGTAAACAATTTATGTAATGATAAAAAATCTAGAAGAACAGAAAAAAATACGGCATAATATTTCTCTTCACTATAGGCTTAACTAACATCATCCTGGTGTTTATAAATATATATGTAGTTGACAAGAAACACAATCCAATTTAAAACAATGCCTTGTTAGCATGACAGTCTTCTATTTACGCAACAACCTCCGAAGAAAGCATCAGTTGATACTTGATACTGTAAAAAGGAAGAAAAACCATATTCCTGAAGGCACATCTTGTTAACAGTAACGAATCAAAGAGAAAACAGCATTCAAGCAAGCATGAAACTCACAAGACTAATGCAAATACCATCCCAAGCAGCAAAACTTTGTTGAGCTCAAACCCATTCTTTCTTTCTTCTTTTGTTGCGTTTTTGGAATGTCAATTTACAACCTGGTGAGAATGACCCTCTACATGACACATTTTGGCACCTGCCACTCTGACCACCTCAAATTACTTCTTCATTTGTAAAAGACGAAAGTGAACCCAAATAGTTTCTTCGTTGTTTCTTTTTACATTAATTCAAGTAGTTCCTTTTGTTGTTACCCATTATAAACAATTTCTGTAATGATTAAAAAGTTTCAAAAAAAAAAAAATTATGTAAGTATAAAAATCCAGATCAGCCTAAAAGAACAGAAGAGAATGCGGCAGCATATTTTTCTTCGATTTAGGCTCGACTAACAACGTCCCGGTGTTTATAAAATATGCATGTAGTTGACAAGAAACACAATCCACTTTAAAACAATGCCTATTGTTAGTATGCCAGTCCCATATTTTAGGCCACAACATCTTGTGAAATAGCATCAGTTGATATTGTAACAAGGAGGAAAAACAGACAAAAGATTGTAAAACGAACATTCACTGTGTTACACACTACAACTTGTTCATCGGCAACAGAGTAGGGTGCACATTGCCAATGTTTTATGGAATTTACAAAAAACATATTTTCTCAGTAATCATGCCTAGCACTTTATGATGACATTGCTAGATATTTTTCAAGCTCAAAGCTTTCCTTTTTTCTACATGAACTCTTGAACATCAAATAACATAAAACAACTCCCTAAATCCGATTTACATCTTCAACTATAGAAAGGATGACACTTCCAGATTTCACTGCCAAATGCCTACAACAGCCATAACCAAGTAATCAAGAACCTACACAACCAAATCACATGCTGAATCTACTCATCATGGAATTGTCTCAAATGGACAAGAAGCAATTTATTGTCCTTAACAGTGTGAATGAACAAAGGGAGCCTCACCCCCCAGTTCCTGACCATAGTGTACTGGACAAAATTGACAGGTTCAGTTTGTGAAAAGGGTTTCATAAAACTACCTACAACAAAATTGCAAAACACAACCAAATGTAAAAAACTCAAACCAGCAGCTTATTTTCACTGACATTCACAGCAAACCAAAGGAGACATGCCTTTTATCATTGGGCCTAAACTCCTGCAAAAGCTGCCTCTCACATTACAACATCACCACTCACTACATTGTCTGATTCAAACCAAAAAAACCATTTTTCATTAAGTTTCTAAGAATCGGAATTAGGCCAAGTAAGGCTATCTGAAGTTGCTCTGAGCTATTCAATCGAATACTGACTTGCCCAGCTCCTCTATTGTTTAAATTTCCACGAGCAATCATGTTGAACCATCTTCCCACAGGGAACTGAGTTTGCAAATTGCAACCAATGGCAAGGTCACCATGCCAATCCATAACAGAGAGCCCAAGAGTTGACAAAAACCGACCAAGAGGGTAGTCCTTATCTCTTAAAGTTGCTTCCAAGCTACCACCATAAGCAACATCACCACGCCCCACCATGGCACCCCCTGTCATAACCACCGTGAACCATTTCTTAACTAGAAGTTTGTCTTCTAGCTTCACACCAGCTGTTATAGCATCACCAAAGAGTGCGACAGAGAGCCCAGCGGCTGTCTTATTGTACCTAAAATTAGCAAATCTCGTGTCACTACGCAATGTATATGCAACTTCCTTTCCCACAGTTTGCGCATCAAATCCAAGAGAGGTAGATTTCCCTTCTCCATGCTTTAAAGAACCAGTACACTCCATCTGGAGATTAGTCTCCTTCTTGTCCTTTGTAATTTGGCCAGAAACCGAAATGGGGATTTTGTTCTTGACCACAAAAAGCCTTTCCACATTTAAGCCTTCATAACCCACATCACGATCCCAACCATGGACCTCAAGAACAGGCCTAACAAGCCACTGGTTTGGAAGGTCGAGACAATTGTATCGATGGGTCGGGTTATCAGAATCAAAAGAGGCAGGCAAAGTCACGTCAGGTATTGTAACAGGCACCGACTCAGCACTGCTACTTTCTTCTTCCGTGCTTTCATTGTACTCACTTGACCAATCCTCGACTGAAGAAGCCATTTTCTTCAATATTTTGCGCCTCTTCTTCTCCTCCTTCAACTGCTTCTTTATGAAAAGCTTTTCTCTGTAGTCCAACTCCTCATAATAAGCTTTTTTCTGTTCTTTACTGAATTTTGCCAAGTGGTTTTGTGTCAAACGCTTGAAAGGAGGTAGGTTATCATAGTCTGAACCATCATCTGAATGAGATGACTCATCGATGTCCTCATCAAAAGCATCCTCATCACTATACTGCTCTTCAGGCAATCTTAGTTGTGGCCTTGACTGAAGAAGTGACGACAAAAGAAAAGGAAGAGGTGGAACCCTTGATCGACCACTAAAAGGCCTCTCATTTGGAACATCTTGTAATTTAAGAAGGGTGTTTGCTTCTGCAAGAATCTTAGATGCAAAGGACAGAAGCAATAATTGGGGTTTCCAAACTTGGCCATTCGGCAAGACCCTCTGCCCTGCTCTATTGGTTCTACAAGCAGAATGGTTCTCAACTAAAGAGACAGGGTTCATTAGCCTCATGTCCCCAGCAGCTTGGCGAATGGCTTGCTGAACCACATGAGAGCGTTGAGCAACAAACATTTCATAGCTCAAAGGAGAGCCATTTGGCCCATCAGGTGGTGCAGAGCCAGCATGGGTTAAAACAACAATTGCATTGAACCAAATTGCAGGGCCAAAAATTTCAGTGATGGTTCTAAGCAATGGTAAATCCCCATAGTCTCGGCTCTGCATGTCCAACCTATCGAGATACAAAACAATATCTGGAGGGGTCTTTTTGATGAATCTCTTCACAGATTGAAGGGTTTTCTCATTTTGACGCTGGTCAGCAAAGGATGGTAAAAGGCCCGGAGTATCAATCACCCTAACCTTGATCCCTTGAACTGTTCCCACAATATCCTGGACCTTCTTGGTACCCAACTCGAATGCATCGGTGCTAAACTTAACTTCATCAAAGATAGAATTGATGGTGGCACTCTTACCAACACCCGATTTTCCAAGCACCATGATGGTGCAAGAGAAATCAAGGGGTTCTTGGCCCGCTGCCTCGAGTTGCTCAGCCATAGCACTAGCTGTATCAAAGCTAAAAGCCCCAGCTCTATTAGTGTCCCTTCTCCTCCTTAGTTGTTCAGCAAGGCCAAGCCTATAGAGGACCTGGGCCACAACTGAATTATGAGGAGTTTGGCCAAGCCTATGAGCAAGACGTAAAAATTTTACCCGAATCATTTGAAGCTTCTCCCGGGTCTCACTGTTCTCATCTGTTTCACCATTTGCCACCTCTTCAACAAGCTGAGACTGACGAAGAGGTGCACTTCCATTGACACGAGACTGTTGTTGTGTACGAGGAGCAGGCTCCAATAGAGAGCCTGAGGACCCAAGACCAGCAGGCCGAGCAGGAGGAGGAGGCAGGGTAGAAGTCGTAGTAGATTGACTTGGTGCACTGATTCTTGAAGCAGCCATTGACTGTATACTATCATGTTCATTATTATCATCATCTGATGATGATGACGATGATGATGAGCCTAATTGATCCCATTTGGTGGAGGAAGAAGATCCTTTGCCAAGCAATTTATTTGTGATTGGCCCATCTTGTGCCTCTGCTTTATTTGACTCAAGCTCCACTGGTATGACAATTGTGGGCTCAGGGATATGGGATTCCTGGGCATCATCATTATCGATCGCAGAGATGCTGTCACCTTCACCGGTGCCCATTGATTGGGAAGTAACTGACGCTGAATTTAAGTTAGGAACAGTAACATCCCCTATGTCCTCAGCCTGAGAACCCTGTGTTTCTTCTTGAATATCACTGGTTTCATGAGAAACCAAAGGAGGAGACTCATGTGTACTCTGTTCATGACCTTCATTCTCAGGTAAAATGCCAGACCAATCAGCAGTTTCCATGTCCAGAGCAACCTGAGTATCTCCTCTTGGAATATCCCCGGCATCCTCAATCAGCAAAGCCTGTGTATCTTCTTGAATATCACTGGTTTCATAGGAAGCCAAAAGAGAAAACTCATGTGCATTTTTTGCAGGAGCTTCACTCTCGGGCAAAAGGCTAGCCTCATCAATAATCATGTTATCCATATTCACATCTTCACATTTATAATCAACCTCATCAATATCAATATCCATTTCTGTGCTAGGGGAACCCTTCTCTTTAACATTGACATCAATGAGCGAGGGGCCTAGTGTCCCTGGGTCGTTATTACTCCCAATAACAAAATCAGTTCCTTCCGCTTCATTGAGATCAAAATCTGCATCACCTGAAAAATAAAACAAGAATGATGATTGTTTTTTTTTTTTTGGGGGGGGTGGGGGCAAACAACATGAATGATTCTTCTCTGAAAACCTTTGGAAAGACTAAAAAGACAAACTTTGACAAATGCAAAGAATCATAAAGATTGCAAACTACCATTTTTCAGCTCTGGTATTCCATCTTGGTTTACATCAACTTTCAGCGCATCTTGAATGGCACTCTTCGCAAGGGGTTCTGTAATTTCAGCCGCTAGTTTCCCTCCATCTGCTTCTTCTACTACTGGTTCATTGTTTGCATGATTTTCATAAAGGGTTGTATCTGAAGAAACTATATCAGCTTGTCCTATATGACCATTTTCAAGAGATGGTTTGGACCCCTCTTTGCTTTCCGAACGTTCCTCTACATTGTTTTCCTCTTTCGAGAGGCCAATAGCTTCATAAAACCTCTCTCTATTTTCATGGCTTTCTTCAAAACCATCATCTTCATTTTCCTTCTCTCCGTTCTCCCCAAACACTTCATCTACTTCTGCTCTCTTGTTATCTTTCACATCAAACCTATCATCTCCTTTTGTTTTATCATCTCCATTACCTTCAGACGCATCATCTTTTTTTTCACGCTCTCCATTCTCTGCAACTCCATGAGGTTCTAATGAGCGTGATTGGCCATCATCAGGCTGGGCTTCCATGGCCTCCTCAAATACCTCATCACCTTCAGAATCTTTAGCCTCTCCTGGTTTTAACTGAAATTCCTTTACCACCACATCTTCTCTATTGGAAACATGTATATCCTCAACTTTAACCCCATTTTCTGCCATCTCTGCAACTAAAATTCACCTAGGGCTAGCTCAACTACACAATCAATAACTGATGCCCAAATGAAAAAACCTAGAAAACGAACAAATAGTCCCTGTCAAAACAAAGAAACTCAGAAACCAGAAACAAAACCATGCCCTAATCATTCATTACTGTGAAATAGAACGAGAGGCAAACAAAATCCATGCCGATAGAGACAAAGGAAGCAAATTCAAGCGATAACCACAGGAAACCCTAACATGCAGCGTTTGTTCAAGCTTCAAAGACCTAGAGAGGTTTCTCAATGGAAATAGAGATCTAAATGCATTGAAAATATTCTTGTCTGATACATAGAGATAAAGGGGATAGAATTCCAAGACTCCTACCTCAAGCGCAATCCATGGCCATCGGTGATGTAGAGGGAGTAAATAAGAAGAAGAAGAAGCCCCGTCTCTCTCTCTCTCTCTCTCTCTAGAAGAAGGCCCGTCTCCCACTCTCTGTAATTTTACGAGCAATACGGGATCTCACCCCCTCAACCTCTTTAGATGATAGCGGATAAAGAACCATCGACGGTGAGGGCGATAGGAGGCAAGGATCGAACGGCTGTAATTGCGTGCATCCCGGTTTGTGAGGTAACTCGCTCTCTCTCTCTCTCCTCTTTCTTGTGGGGAACGCCGGGCGTTTTGGAGATCCGTCCGGCCTACCAAATGAAACCAATCCCAAAATCCCTTTCCAATTCTTTTATTTACTATTCATTCCAGAAACTTTGTAAAAACAATTACATAAAAAAATCCATAATCCTCCTTTGAAAAGTGGGCGTGTATATGGTGCTCCCGTGAGATCATTGTGCATCTACTCCCTCAGCTGAAATACCTAGCTAAGTTGATTTCTTTAGTCTAAAATTTTGGAAATTATATAGAAGTTATTAGGTGATTATTTTTAAAAGGAAAATTTTGAAATTTGAGTTCTATGACACTTAGATCTAGCTCTTAAAAAATTTGGATAGTCTATATTAAATCTTGCGGCATTTCTAGAACATAGAGTTTTTATTTCGATTCTTTTTTTAATGAGACTATTATATGGGTCGTAAAAACTACATCTTCAAAATTTGAGATATAAAAAGTATCCTTAGCATGTATTTTATTTGAATGAATTAATAAATAAATAGTATACTCCTATAGAAATAAGCAATGGTTTAAAAAAAGGATCGGTGACCCGGATAGGGCTTCCAAAAAACCGATCGGGTTCAGCGAATCGGCGATCCAGATCAAGAATCGGGTGAATCGGTCAGAATAAAGCTTAAAAAAATCCGAAAAAAATATTAAAATTCATTATAAATATTGTTTTTTAGGAATTCAATAAGAAATGAGGGTACTCCATTAAGAATTTTCATGTCTTTGAATGAATATGTGAATATTGATATGTTCTTTCCCTGCATGAACCGCCATTCAGCATTTAATTTACATCACACAAAAGGATAAACATATAATTATCATGGAATAAGTATATCAACATACATGGACTACAATAAGCATAAAATTAGTAACATATGATCTAAAAATAAAATGATAGACGACGTTATTGATCTTCTTGGTCACGCTGGTGCCATTGATTGAATTCGTTTAACAATTCATTGATTCGATCTAAAAACGAATCATCGATATTAGCAGGCGTCTGACTATTCCCAAATCCCTGAGTGTTAGTGTTTTGTTGTGTTCCCAATTTAAAATCCCCGAAGATTGTTCATCCTTCATGCTCACCTGCACTGTCGTGCTCATCCC